TGGTTTAGGGTGAACGCAAAATTTGGTGAACGCGCACCGGGTGAGAATAGCCACAAGACTCGCCTGCTCTATTCTCACTCCGGGTGAGAATAGAGGTGGCCATATTTAGTAGAAAATAGACAACTGGTAGCTGAGTGTGAGACGGGAGGGAAAGTAAAAAAATACCGGTTTGATATCTTAGCTCACCGCGAATCAAAAGTATAGATCTAGATCTAGATGTAGGTCAGGCTCAAATAAGGGGGGTGGGAACTACCGAAAAAGCACCGGTTATGGGGAGGGGGGTTCAGGGGGGTCTTCCCCCTGACAAAATTTTAATGAATAGATCTACCGGTCCGAGATTGTCCATTGAGAGATATTAAAAACGGGGAACATGATGAATTCCTAAGGTTGAGACATAGGCAAAGTCAGTCCGCTGGTCTGGTATTCTTCAATCTTACCAAAGCAAATGTTGACTTTATTTTGTCTGATATTTTCGCGTCATGTAACACTCACACTTGTTACGGACGTTAAGACTCCAGATTCTAGGATTGGTATTTTTTTACTTTCCCTCCCATCTCACACTTTGCTACCAGTTGTCCATTTTCTACTAGATTAAAATCTAGATCTAAATATTGATGCGCTGAACACGAATATCAACTTCATTTCTGTTGCAAATGAATAGTTTTGAACTACGGAGTGTCTACGTGTATCTACGTACACGGTAACCGGGCACCGTCATGTCTCAGTATCTACATACACAGTAACCGGAATTAAAGTAAATCAATATTTGTCCTGTGCTGTTACTTGCTGGAAAAAAAAAGACATACAAGAAGCGTCTTGTCGGGCTCGCCATCGTGACCGTTCAATGGACCTGTGCGGGCGCATCACATTGTGAGTACCAGTTGGGGTCACCAAAGTTCATTCAAAGTCTGTGCGCTGCGAAATATAGGGCCCCGGAATGGGGGGATTATTGATTTTTTTAAAGGTACAGCCGGGGGAGGGGTGGGGATGAAGGCAACACCGGATGGCAAAAACTGAACTTCGAGTTCTGGACGGCCCGGTTACCGTGTACGTAGATATCGAGGCTACATGCTCGGTTACCGTGTACGTGACGCTGAGACTACGTGCCCGGTTGCCGGTTACCGTGTATGTAGACACTGAGGCTAGGTGCCCGGTTACCGTGTACGTAGACACTCCGTTTGAAATAACTTATTGTTCTTATAGAGATAGATGTACTTTAGACCCCCCGTCCAGGGGAGCCTGCCCCACTGGGGTAAAAGAAAATCTGGGGGGGGGTTACAGGGGGCATGTTTTAACCCATACTTTGATATTTTACAGTTAGATGTGAAATTTTTTGGCAAAATAATGTGAACTACAGTCAAACCTGTGTAAGACGGCCACCCATTGTTGTTCAAGGAGAAAAGTGGCCGTATAAGACAGGTGGCCGTCTTAGGCAGGACTGATCAAGATGAAAACAAACCATTCCCATCTGAAGTCCCAGTCGAAAGTAGCTGCATTGTTGTTGTTTTTGTTGTTGCTGGTTTGTATTTTGTTTGTTATTTTTACTTTGTTGCTGATTTTGCGCAAGGGTGACCAGAAAACGAAATGTATCAGATGACGAAGACCGAGTGCCATGTTAAAACAAACACATGGGTCGCCACCACTCGGAGAATGAGCGGCGCTTCTGCCGCAAGTTTGTGTTGACGTCCTTTGTTACTTTGTTACAGACTGGGTAAACAGTGACCACTCATTTCCCTTACGATTTGTATATGAGGTCTGGGCGGGGCTTACAGGTTATGAGGGATCACACGCTTACCACACCAGCAGCTGAAAATTGGTACCAATTGGTCAACAGTGGGAGGGGCCTATGCAACATGATCGTTTGGAGGGACTACCTAACAACGACAAGTGATTGGATTATGACGGCTTGCCCACAACACCAGGGGCCAATGCACAATTTATGACAAAAAGTAATGGGAGTCTCTAAGGTGGCCGTCTAAGACAGGTGTTTTTGCTCAGTGCAATAGGGGTTGTGTGTTAAAATATGGCGGCCGCGTTGGACAGGTGCCCGTCTTACACAGTTAAATTATATAGAAAAAACGCAAGGGGGGAAATGGAAAGTGGCCGTTTGTACAGGTGGCCGTCTTATAGAGGTGGCCGTCAGGGCAGGTTCGACTGTAATTGATTTGCGGCAGTTTTAATCTAATATACTAGTGGCTTTATGTGTGATCTGCAGTTTGACCCCTGAAGCAGTGCATCTGTGTGCGGGAGTGAAAGTAAAAATTTACCCTAGAATCTAGCCTATGTTTTTCTAAAGTCAACGTTGGTGTGTTTCGTGCGTTAGTCTTAGAAAGAAAAAACTTGGAAAACAAGACAAAACATCCCCGTCATCGAAAAGGACGTTAAAGAATGAAAAAATGGCGCCAAACAGAAGTAGGTTTTAGCCTCTGTTTCACGGAAAGTAGCCTACTCGTGATTTTCCGTAAATCTCAGAGAAATGCCGATTTGGAGCGTATGATGTCGGCGACTCAGCGGGAGGGGTGCGTTGCAAAACTCTTGAATCTTCTAATAGTTTCTTCAATTTTAGTAATCGATGTAGAAATGAGTAGGGCCTAGGCTATCGCGTAGTCTGATCAGAGAAACTTACATTCATTTCGTTTTTGGAACTAAATTTGGCACTTCATTTAGAGTCGAAATGTTGGACTTATTCCCGTGATTTACGACCATTTCGCTCTGCCTGTTGCCATTTCAAACCGATGCTAGATTTCTTTTTTTTCACTTATCACATTAGAAAGACGTAGGCCTACTCCTTGCGTGTTCTAGATCTAGATACTTTTTGAGAAAATCTACCATTATATGCCCTTTACAGCGAAAAAATGTCATATCCGCGAACACCAGGAAATGCACTAAATCTAACTCCTTACGTCCGTAACACTGTTACGCAAAATATCAAACTAAATAAAGTTAGCACTCGTTTTTTATTCACACAAATTGAACACAAAACTATACAACAGGAGAATTTTATTTAAAAAACAAACCCTGTGCCCTGTGTTGTCTCTCACACCCTTACCGTGAAATCCGCCTTATTGATGTTATCCATGTTTATGGAATTCCAGGCTGCTGCAGCACTGCAACAGGTAACTGCGGAAAGGAGCCCTGAAATCCATTGAGGTTAAAGGTTTCTCTACTTTAACTTCCAGGTCGTTGGGTACAATCGCGGCGGGGTTGCAGTGTGCACTGAAACCACCAGAAAACCCGACCGGATTGCCCTGGCTTAAAGTGCACCTCCTATAAGAGATATTTTGCTTTCACATTCAGTAGACTCTAGATCTAGAGATCTAGCCTACTGTCTAGGAACTCGTTGTCGAGATAGCCAGGATCCTAGATCTTGAAATTAGATCAGATTCTATGTTCAGTCATGTATTCTCAAATCTATGTTGTTTTCTTATTAAAAAGTATTTTTACCCCTGGTGTAAAAAGATAACCATTTTCATCAGCAGTGAAGTTCTACTTTATGAGATTGGGGAGTGCATGATATCCACAGAATTCAGTTCTGCCAATCCATCTTTATCATCTTCTAATGTTGTTGCAATGGTATGGTATGAGGATGGTGCATCTTTCTTGTCAACTGGCAAGGGCCCCTCGGAGTCCTGATGAATTTCCAGCCCCAGCCAATCTGCTCTTTGGTGATTTGATGCAATTGTCTCATGTCAATCATTTCTGTTTGCTGCTCTTTGGGCTGTTCTAAGTAGACTAAAGAGCTTTTTTTTCTACGCCTAGCCTACTCATTCACATGGGTTTTTCTGGCCTTCCTTTTGATTTTTTTGGTCTTTTTCTTTACTCTGCAGGCTGTACTGTAGTGCCTATTTCTCATGGGCCTCCTTTTTATCAATTGCAGCATTTTTCAGTTTTGCTTCCTTTCCTGGCGCTCACAGCCTTGCCTTGCAGTTGCGAGCGCCTTAAAACCTTATTAAAACTACTAAGTTTCCTTTCCTTCTCTCATGGTTATTATTGCTTCTCATGTTGCTTCTTGAATTCATTCTTCAGATGGTTTTGTTCCATGACCATATTGAAGAACTTTCTCGGCTGTGGTGACAAATGCGTACATAGAATCATAGATCTTCACAGTTTCACAGGCAGAAAGAATTGGCTATCTTTCTTTATAATTTTAATATTTGTTCCAACAATTTTATGTTGTCTGAACTGTAGCTTTTGTAGCTTCTGGCTCTCTCTGTTTTGTTGGAACAAAACGCTTTTGGGTTGCTGTTTTTACTTCCTTTTTACAAATGTTTGATTGCAGAGCAATTATACAGAGGACAGGAAATGACATTTTATCCTAAATCTACATATTTCATGGTATTTTTAATGTTATTTTTAAAATAAACTCAATTTGTCTGTGCCTGAAGGCTGGTCCCAGTATAAGAAATTTTGCCTAATTTTGAGTCAAAGACATGTGCTGCGATGTGATAGAACCTGGCGCTTGTCAGTTTTTGCCCATATGAAATTATTGATCTGTAATCTTAAAACCTGTTCATTTGCTTTTATCTTTTGATGAAAAATAAAATTCCAATCTACCTTGAATAGAAATTGAGATTGAAGGAAGTGCGAGTTGCCTGGTAGCTGAGGTAAAAATTAGCAAGAAAATGGCTGCCAGAGTTAAATGATTTTCAAAGCCTTAGTTTGTCATCTCAGCTGTCTTTAGGTCAATTCATTATCAGCGTTAATTTTTGTCATGAAAATCATTTTTGGGTTTTGTCTCATTGTTTATATATACTATTCATTTTCATATTTTTAGACTGAAAATTTACAAGTTGTATTGTTCAGGGTCCTCAGATGCCAATCATTTCTCTCCCCCCCCCCCCCCCCCCCCATTCATGCTCAGCCTCTCAGGTCATGTCCATAGAATCGATTCTCTTCATTACACTCTGAATTTTTCATGATGAACTGTGTTTCTGTTGCGAAAGCATGGTCTGACCTTTCATCTAAACACATTGTCAGACTCATTGTTATTGTTAAAAAACTTTTTGTGCATTGATGGGGTCCCATCCACTACTTTTGCATTCGCCACAATGATTGTCTGGCACGGGATTAGTGAAAAATGGCGATCGGAAGTAGAACCGGTCCCCATGTTGATGAATTTGCTGAGTTGAGGCCTTTATATTTTTGCAGTAGACACTTATTCTCTAGCATTTCGTACTCACTTCTGTTCCCAATAATATTTTTAAGGCGGAAACATTTTAAATGAACGTAATTTCATTTTTTAGTAAAAAACCTGTTTTATTGAAGTGAAGGCAGAAAATACCATGGGTTGATTGAATCTGAATTTCCAAATTCTTTTACAAGTAGTAGATTCTCTGTTGGTGAAATTAGGACAACAAAGTAGAAAGTTGTCTTGAAGTAGGGAATTTCCTTTGAAGGCCATTATACTATTACCCTCATTGATTGATTTTGTTTTCAGTGTGTGTTTAGATTCTACTTTGGATATATGTGATGACACTTGATTTTCCTGTAATGGAATGTGGTTTCTTTACCTAAGCTGTGTCAGCAATTTCATCTGTCCGAAACTTCAAATTTGTATATTTACACACAAAGTTTAATGACGGTACTGTATCTACTGAAGACTACTACCATGCCTCTTGTAAATAATTGTATAGTTTTGTTTACAGTTGCGGGTAAAAATAGTATTTTGCTTGCGTTGTGACTTGGAAGGAGTTTCAAAAGGCATAGCAAGTAGCATTGGGTGAAGGATCCAAGAATGTCTGAAAGTTAATGAGACTTTTTGAGTTGTTGTTCTGGGTCTTGAAGTAGAATGGTAGTGAGCTAATATTTTAAATATTGATTCCACGAATGAGATATATTGGGGATTACAGGATCATATGGAACTCCTCCCTTGTGATTTGCTGTACAAGATAACAGTAAATGTAAACCTGCACTTTTTATTATTCGTATCGTCATATAAATAGACAAGAAGAACTGAGAACCATGTTTGGGAAGTATGGACCCATCACTGATGTCTACATTCCCATGGACTATTACACAAGGAGGCCAAGAGGATTTGCTTATATACAATATCCTTCTTTATGGAAATTCCTTAGCTTGTTTGTTGAAAGCAAGTCATAAAATTGATTGAAATAGCTGATGATTCAATAACAAGGTTTTTTTTTTCTCTGTCGACCCAGTGCTTCCAGTTCGTGAGGATTGAGATGTGGCACGAAAGCTTTGTTATTTTGCATTTCTTGTCTTCTACTTAGAGGGAGCAGGATACTTCCTTCTCTTCTACTGCGGCTACAATGACATGTTTCTGGATAGGTGCTCGCTTGCTCCTGTTTCTCTTCTTCTTTCTTAGTGAATAGTTGTTCGTTTGTTTTTGTCGTGGTTTTTTTTTTTCTTTTCATTTTCTCTCTTTTCATTTGCTCTCTGTCTCCTAGAAGGGATATCTTGTATTTTCCTTTCTTTTAAATGTGTTCATATTCTTTAGCCAAGAAGAACTCAGAAGCGCTTTCGGAAAGTACGGACCCATCACAGATGTCTATATTCCTTTGGATTATTACACACGGCGTCCTAAGGGATTTGCATATGTGCAATATCCTTGTTTTCTTGTTTTGCCTGATTGAGAGTTTCTAAAACTGTCATCAAGTTACTCAGTTATATTACATCAATGTGGTATTCAGTATTCAGAGAAGATTTTAGTGTCTGTTGTAGGGTTCCTTTATTAAAATGCGACGCATATTTTGAAGTCACCGGTACTTCAGTAAACTGAATAATTTTGCTTGTTGTTGAAATTAAAAGGGGTAAATGTGACTAAGCTGAAACGAGCTTTTGTGTATGTTTATTTGTTGTACAGCTTTATGATGGGATGCTTTCTCTATTTTTTATTTTACATTTTGAGAATATGTACTGTCGGTTATTTCATTCATGTGCTTTTGTCTCTTTCTCTGTCAGAATGCCAAGTGGCTTCAATCTTAAAGCTCAAGTCCAGAGATTGCATTGTTTTTTTCTGGTCGAATCAAGCCCTGAGCAAGAAAGAGATAAACAAGAAAGTCATTACCAATGGCCAAGTAGTGTAAAGTCAAGGTCGGGAGGATGAAGGGAGGGAAAACTGTACTAAAAGAAATAGCAAGAGCAAGGTTCCAAAGAATAAAGCAAGATACACAGTGGTAGGCAAGCTAACCCAGAAAGAATCAAGTTATCAAGCAAGACAAGCAAGTCACCCAAAACAACATGTTATATCCAATGGACAGAGGATTGTGAGTAAAGTACTTTCAGTCTTTACTTCCCCCCCTTAATGTTTCCTTTGTCTGTTGGTGATTGGGTCTTTGTATAGTGGAAGGTTTACTTTCTGAAGAACAAGATATGTTTTGTTGAGCTTTTCAGTGATACGGGCCTAAAGGCAGCTCTGCTTCTTGTGAACATGATTTTCAAAGCTTCAATTATTCTTTTATTTATGGTGATGGTGGCATCAGTTATCTATTATTTGCCTAAGTACACTTCTCCGAGGATATTGGTATGAAGGCAGGTTCAGCATTCAGAAATAAATGGATGAGTCTTAATGGGACATGGAAACCCCCATGAAAGGAACATTTTGTATTATGTGACTTGTTTTGTATTGTATGTTAATTTTAAATAGTTCTCACCTGTTTATTTAAAAAAAAAAAAGATTTTCCCACTTGGTAGTTTTTGTCTGGTCAAAATATTGTTGTGATTTTGTGTTTGTTTTGGGCACTGGGTAGTTGTTTATTTTTTGGTCAAATGTGCCGTTGATGTTGTTGTTCAATTGGAAAAGAAAAAACCTTAACTAGCTCAGGTTTGAAGATCCGAGGGATGCAGATGATGCACTGTACCATTTGGACCGAACACGCTTTTATGGAAGAGAACTGGAGATTGAGTTTGCAAGAGGAGACAGAAAATGTAAGTTTACTTGTTTCGTGCTCTTCTGTTTGCCTCTTTGTAGACTTTCCTTTATAAATATCTTTCATTTGAAAAATGTCGTTTTTTAACATTCTGATAAAAATATATTGGGGGGGGGGGGGCAAATGTCACAACAAAATAGAAAATAAAAGAATTAAATAAAGTTGAAATCTCAATTATCTCAATACCAAGGTAATATATGCCAATAACCCACTAATTATGCACAGTTCAATTAGGAAATAAGCCAGCTTGACCATTCTGTCATGTTGATCTGTTCGGAAATTTTAAAATTGAGATTTTGAATAATGCTTGTTTATATAGTCGACCTGGTGCATGATTAATTAACCATATCCGTGCGCCCTGGGGTCTTTTGTTCCCCTGGGGTTGTATTCTAAACATTTTTAATTTAGAATACTTCTAGTGCGAAGATCTTTTTGACTGCTATACGTAGCGTACGGGACAGATTAACGAGTAAATTTTCTCTTTGAAAGAAGTGGCACAGAGTTCCCCACGGTCGTATGAACATGATAGAAACACGGCGTACGGATAGTGTTAACCAAATGGTTCGTTGTATGTTGTTTTTAAAAAAATCTGAAATGTATGTACTTATCCGCTTTTGAGTCTTGAAAATGTTTTTAAAAATTACGGTTGCTGCATTTATGGCAATCTGATGTGTGTACCTATAATGAACTATATGTGTTGTGCCCTATTGTTGTTCTGCTTTGTCATTATGAAGTGAGTACATCAGAAATCAACCTCAAATTAGGCCTGTTTGATTCTGTTGAAACCACCAGTGCTCAGTGGATAGAATATGCTGTTACCTTGAATTCCATCAGCTCTAAATCCATGTAAATTTTTAAAACAAATGAATCCCAAACACTAACTTGCGATGGCCAATTGAAAGAAACCTTCGTTATGTCCTAGTCCATGAGCAGGGTGCTTTCCTAGGTATTCAGGTCGATTAAAATAACTGTTCAATTGACAGCTTTACTTTAGTACGTAGCCATGAAGGGCTGACACGAAGAAAAAAGTGCTATAAATTAACATTTTCTTGGGGTCACTGTCAGTTGCAGCAAAACTACTGCATTATTGCGCCGCTGGTGCAGAAATAGCTGGTGAGGTGCAGTTGTTTTTTTGTCTTTCTTTTTTAGCACCTGGACAAATGAGAGGAAAAGAAAGATCTTCAAGGAGGTCCCCATACTCAAGATATGATGATTATGACAGGAAGCGTTACAGGTCAAGAAGTCGCAGCCCAAGGTATGTGTAGGTGTAGAAAAATATGTGTGGGCGGTTAACGGGTGCTCTGGTGTGGTGTGGTCCTTTCCTATCAAACATCTATCGTCCTGATCCCTGCTCCTTTTTTGTGTTTGTTAAACTCTCTTGTAACACCTCTAATCTCCGGAACTTGTATGACCTTATTGTGTTGCAAGTGCAGTAAAACTCTTACTAAAAACTAAACTAAGAATAGTATTAATTGAAAGACTACATCCAGAGACACACAGTTTTGTTTGTTTCCATTGATTTGAATCTTTTCAAGAGATATTCATGGTGTTTGTAAAAAAAACCCAAACAACTATGATTCTACCTTTTCGTGCCATAAAAGAACTGCAAGTGTGCTGAGCTTCCCTGGACTTTTGTGAGGTGCTTGCAATACCCACTTGATGAATTGTTATCATCTTTTGCCACTTATTTCCATGTCTTTTGTTCCCTTTATCTGTTTTCTCTATTTTCTTATGAAGCCACCTGCCATTATCCCCTTTGTCCCTTTTTTTTTCTCCCTCCCACCTTCATGTGAATGTTCACCTTGACTTCAGCCCCTCTAGATATCCTCCTGCTACTCCATGAACCTGGGAAACCCCTGATTTTCTTTCTCCTTCCCTTTACCACCAGTACTAGAGCATTCAAACCACTTGCTTTCTGACTGAGAAAGATAATGTACTTCTACAGAGAGAAAAAATTACATCTCTTATTAGCTTTACTCAGGGGTGCCCATTACGAATTTGTCGGAATTGTTGTGATTTTTATTCAATACATCGCGTGCAGCTGTCTAACAGTATTAACTACCTCTTTGCATTGAACATTTGTAATCGCTCAGTACCACTTTTCCCTTAGAAAAACATAATTTAGACTTCAGAAGTGACAAAGCCAGGAGTAAGGGTTAAGGCAAACATTAGATTGAAAAAGTGTCAGAAAATTCTTGTCCCTTTGTATCATAATGCCTTTGTATATATTACATTTATTATTTTTATTATACTGGACTTCAACCCCTGTCCTTGACAGTTTACTAATTTTCTATCTGTTGATGACTAAAACTTAGGCTGGTGAGTGGGCAGCCCTGTTTACTTCTTCCCTGCTTTGTTCCAAAATGTAATATCATTTGCTGCCATGTGTCCCCAGGTACATAAAAGTATGTTGATACATAAATCTATCATCTGCTTGCGTTACATGATACTGATCATTTTTTTTCTGGTTAAAACTCGGTATGAGCTGCAAGTATGGCCTCATGACTCTTACGCTGTATTTTCTATTTGAGGTTTATTTTTTCCCCAGTTTTCCTCTTCAGATTTACCTAGAACTCCACAGATCAATGATAAACACCATTCCGTGGCGGTGCTACTGACAGAAGTGTCTTTAGGCCTTTCCCAAAGGGGGACATTAACCTGTTCCTATGCACAGTAGAATAATTGTCGTTGTAAATGGGCTGATTCATCAATGTCGTGCTCATAACTGCTGCTTTTTCTTTCCTCATCCTATCGTCATTTTCCTCTACTTCTTTTGTATGTCACACTCTTGTGACCCACTATTTGCGGGGGTGCCTTGATAGTTGAAGCAGACTTTGTAGGCCTACTGTTGAAGCTAGAGAGGTGAGCGGAGAAAGTGTGATTCCCTGTTAGGACTTCTTTGCGCTCATATGGCCGTATGTAGTTGCGAGTGCAGAATAACCTCTACTAAAACAGAACAAACAAAGGGATAGATAATAAACACACTAGTCACTAATGATCGCACCGTAGCTGCAAAATCAGTTTCCTTGATTACCTCAAGAACAAATGTAATTTTCAAGGTTGAGTAACTCAAGTGGGTGAAACAAAATAGGACTGAAAGGAGACAGATTGTCTATTGTAGCATTAATGCTGGTTTCTTACTAGTCTCTTCTGAATCAAGATTTCTGGATTTCTATGTGTCAGTAATTTTCAATGGGGAAGTTATATATAAGCCATGGTAATCGGCTTGGAACATTCTAGTAGCTTGTTAAACTTATGACGAGTTATCTGTTTCATTTCCAGGTACCGATCTTATTCACGAAGTCCAGTAAGAAGTTCAAAGTGAGTGGGTCACCTACCATGTTTTGTATTGTTGACATTGTGCCAACCATCAGAATTCTAAATGCTCTCTCATCTGTGAGTTGTGTTGTACTTACCAAACGCACAAGAAACTAGCTTAGTGTGGCGTTAACTTTTGTACATCATGAGCTTTTCAAGAAAGTTATGTCCTTTCAAGTGTTTTTATCTTTTAAAAAAAAATCAAAACAAAAAAGTTTCATGAGGATAATTTTACCAAGTTTTTTTTTTCTTCTAACAAGTGGGCTATTTATCAAGATTCTTTATGGAAGTTCTCGTCCCTGTTTATAACATGTTTGAAATACAGTTGAACCTGCTGTAATGACCACCTGTCCAAGGCGATCACTTTTTCAAAAAGGGCCCCCGCCCCCACTCCACAGCATTTTTTCCTTTCCTTTAGTGAGTGACACAATCCAAATAGGGCCTCCTAACTAAGATTACTGTTTTGTTCCTTGACAATGGGTGCTATTGTCCTGGGCAAGTTCGGCTGTACATCTTATCAGTTGGTACTTATTTTGTTGTATCAGGGGCTTTTTTGTATTTTGAGTTGGTTACTGTTGAAACTTTGGGGATTGGGTGGTGGGGGTACGTACGTGTTGTGGGGTACGTACGTGTTGTTTGGGGTGAGTTTAACTGTCCTTAGAGTGACGTGCCAGTGACAATGTTAGGTAGATGGTAAGATTTCATGTATGAGAAAGCATATATAGACTTTATGAATGGGAAAGCACATTTGAACCCTGTCTTTTTTTCTCGTTGACCGTATAATTTATACATTTTTTCTCCTACTTCCTGTTCCTAGACGCTCTCGAACAAGGAGCCGTTCTCCAAAGAGAGAAAGAGAGAGGTAAGTTGAGAAACATCTAAATTGTTGGCATGCTTCTTGACATAAAATTATACTGAAAATTTTTTTACAGTAGCCCATACAAATCATACATCACCACGTTGATTGCTAGAGTCTGTTGAGCATTTTAAAAGTCGAATGACTCTTTAGTGTGTGGCTGAAGACTGCTCATGTTCTGGATTTGAAGTTTTGTTTTTCCTGAGTAGGAGTAAATTGGTCGCTTTTAAGGACAAGCAGGCTAACCCAGATTTGGGGGGTTTCCAGAAGTTTTGACCTTCACCAAAAGTGGGGATTTTCCTACCTATAGGAGAAGTTTGGTTTCATTGGTGTGTATGTTTGGTTATAGAGAGAATTCTCCTTGTCTTTTAAAGAAACTGAACTAGGGGCTAAAACTTTGCCTTCTGTTTTCTCAAAACAGCATTTTCTGGGATAGCCCCCATATGCTTAAAAGCGAAAGGTTACATCAAGTCTGGTGTATAACACTCCTCTAATTATAGGGAAAGCATGATATGTTTAGGGGTGGTTTGCTCTCAAAAGAAGACTGAAGATATAGCGTGTGGTGTAGCCCTCTCCTTGTGTGTAAAGTGAATCTCACAACCAACAAAGTTGAGTTCAAATCGTAATTTGTGTGAAAGCAAAGGTTGTTTACAAATGATGCTATGCTATTGGTTGTCTGCCAAAATTATTTTGCTTCAATATTTTGTTCTCCATAAATATTGGCTCTATTTTGTTCACCTGTATCTTCTTAATTGAGAGGTTAGACTAATAGCATGTGTCTTTGCTCTCTAAATATGCATAAATGTTTACATGGTCTCCCTATCATTGCCCAGTGCTGTAAAACACCCACTCGTGGTTGGTTGGCGGGTGCGCTGGTGTGGTTTGCTCCTTCCTCCTGCTTTCCTATCAATCTTCTATTGGTGGGTGCTCTGATGTGGTTTGCGCCTTCTTTCCTATCAAACATCTATCGCTCCTTCTTTTCCTTGTATGTTACTCTCTTTTGACACATCTATTTTTGTTACTTATATTACCTTATTGTGTTGCAAGTGCCGTAAAAATCTTACGAGAGAATCTACTGTCCTTTTCTCTCCCCCTTCTTTTGTTTTTATGTTACTCTCTAGTGACACCAGTAATCTTCTGCACTTGTATGACCTAAGCAAGTGCTATAAAAGACTTGTACTAAAATGAAAGCACTAGAAGTAAACCTCATGTTTGAATGTAACTTATTTTTATTCTTCCTTTCTGTTTTGCAGCAGGAAGTCTTACAGTCGCTCAAGGAGCAGGAGTCCATCATTTGAAAGGAAACGTGAAGAAGGGTAAGGTTGAAATTAAATGTTCCTCGATGCGTACATTTTGAAGTGGGAGTGGTCAGTGCTTATCGATGTCTGTGATGCAGTGGTTAAGCCCTTGGCTGTTGCAGTGCAGGGTTCCTGCGGCTGGCCTCCTTGAATTCAAGGAGTCCTTAGTTAAACCATTTAAGGAAATATCTCCTTGAAAAGTCCTTGAATTTGAGGAACATCCTTGAAAACTCCTTGAATTTCGCTGGATATGACATGAACAAAATTTTTGTCGGATTGCTCTTAGCGTGCCGCGAAAACAAAATGAGCTTCTTGACCAAATCTCCTTGAATTTTGGAAATTTTTCCTTGAAACCTCTTTGAAATCTCCTTGAAGTTCATTGCAGGAACCCTGTTGCAGGCAGAAGATCTGGAGTAAATTCCTGTGTGGGGAGAATTTTTGATTTTTCTTCTGGGGTGCTGTAACTGCTTTTCAAAAGCAGGTTTCTTGTTCACAGTCCCCCCTATATATGTCATGTTAATTTGGGTTTTCGCCTCTTTTTTTTCGAAATTGAAATCAATTCTGGGCGTGTAAAGTATAAAATCAAGTTTCCTCATCATCCATTATGGAATGACGTGTTGAACCAAGTATTATTTTCCCTGTCTATTGGTAAGATTTTAAAAAACTGAATGCGCTTAAATGTAATGTTTGCTTGTGTTGCCAGTTTCTAAAACCACTGGAGATAATGAAGAAAATTAAGGGAAGTTACTGACCGTGTGATGGCCAGGAAATAGATTATGTAAAGTCAGGAAAAGTAGCCTTCATTTTTTAAAAGACGGATAGTTTGTGGGACTTGCAGGATAAAAGTTCCAGGTGATGTGCGATAATGCGTCTTGGCACCAGCTGTGTGTGTGTATTACGCTGTGCTGGGGTGATTCTGGTGGGCTCGTGTAATCAGATACTCTTGGCGATGATGTGTTTGTTTCCATTGTGTGCATGGAGAGATTTGAATCCGAGATAAGTGTGAGTTAAGAGTGTTTATGAATAATTTGATAGGGTTGTTGCAAATGAGCTTGTTTGACACGGCCGTGTGGGTGTTCCAGAATTGTACACAGAGCTGCCAATACAACATATTGTTCGAGTTAACTGGGAATTTTAAGTTTGTGTGTTATAGTTATTTAATTTGTTCCTGACTGTATGTTGTAACTTAACTACAGTTCAGTTTTCCGTGTCTGGGTTTCTCTCAATATTGCTCTTTGTTTAGGAAGTTGGAAAGGGGAAAGAATAAATGCAAAATTTGTTGTGAATGTTACATTACCGTAATTAGATCACATCAGATGTCCATATCATTTTTTATTTTTTAAAAATTCTTTTTTAAGTCACGATTTTCTTTCAACAAACACTCAGATTTAAGTCTTCAAGGTAGGACCTGATGACTTTGTTGGATGTGAATTTCATGATGCTGCTTTTCTTAACTCTGTCCTAATGATGATTTGGTGGTGACATAAAAGTTGACCCATTCCCATTTTTGTTGCAGGACACGAAGCAGATCCAAGACGGGGAGCCCTGACGACGGCAAGTCGGACAAGGAAGAGAGGGAAGCGTCCCCCGGGGAGTGATTTGTTGGATGGTTTTCAGAGAATATCATGTCATTTCATCATAATGTGAATACCCATTGAATTCTGTCACTGTCACACGATGAACAAGTGCTTTGCATTGGTTTTATGAAGTATGTGTTCTCATGTTTTGTTCATGACTATATGAGTTTATGTAAGCTTGTTGTGACTTCCGTGTTACTGTCTTTACATACACGCCCAAAACTGTGGTCACTGTTCTGTAGTAAAGTGAATTTTTACATTTTTTTTCGGGGATGGGGGGGGAGCTTTTGGTCTAGTTTGTACATATTATGTTGGTATTTTAATAGGACAAAAGGGGTGGGGGTTTGGTTGGACAGCACTTTTGGTGTTGTTTTTATGGCATGATTTGTGCCGCATTGGCTTCAATCACATCTTGTATGGATCGTCATTTTTCATAGAAATAAAAATCACTTGTTGGTCTAGCTCGAGTTTTTGTTTACATGTATTGTTTTTATGTACTTTATCTGTTGCTTTGTGCACATATATATGGGAATAATAACATTGTGTAAAATCAATAACACTCTTTAGTTAGTGGTAGCCCTGACTGAAGTGTCTTTAGACCATTCCCAAAGGGGGGACATTAACCATGTCGTTCTTATGCAAAGTAGAATTGTAAATGTAAACGGGCTGATTCATCAATGTCATGCTCATAACTGTGCCTGAACTGCAACAGGCAACTGCTGCTTTTTCTTTCCTATTCTTTTCTATCATAATTTCCCTCTACTTCTTTTGTATCTTTGTCACACTCTTGCTTCTTCTTTCCTATCAAAAATCTATCGTCCTTATCTCCCCTTCTTCTTTTTTATGTTTGTTACTCTCTTGTTACACCTCTAATCTTCTGGCGCTCTCATGACGTTATGCAGTTGCGAGCGCCGTAAAACCTCTACTAAAACAACAACTCTTGTGACCCGCTATTTCTGGGGTGCCTTAATAGTCGAAGCAGACTTTGTGCTGTTGAAGCTGGAGAGGTGAGCAGAGTAAGCCTGATTCCCTGTAAGAAATTCTCTGTTGACATCCACCCTTTGGCGCTCAAATGACTTTATGCAGTTGCGAGCGCCGTAAGACCTTACTAGAACTATTAAAATCTTTGTCCCTAGACACTGGATGTCTTGGTAAACATACACGACTACCCAAGGCCTCACGGTAGAAACTAAAATGGCTGGTCAAGATGCATTGTCGGCTCCTTAATTGGTCTCTTTTAGGACAAGCGGGCTAACCCAGATATCTGGATTTTCCAGAAATCTTGACTTACACCAAAAGTGGGCATCTCCCTACCTATAGGAGAAGTTTGGTTATAGAGTAAACCCTCCTTGTCTTTTTTTTAAAGAAGCTGAACAAGGGGCAAAAACTTTACCTTCGGTTTTCTCAAACCAGCATTTTACGGGATAGCCCCCTTGTGCTTAAAAGCGACGAATTACTTCAATTAGTCTTGGGGTCATTTTGTACCCCCAGGGTTTTATTCTTCACATTACAGAATGCTTCTAGTACGAAGATCTCTTTGAAACTTTCAGTATTTCTCAACTCAAAAAATCATTTTGACAGACTGCTATGCAAAGCGTACGGATCGGATTAACGAGTAAATTTCCTCTTTGGAAAGTGGTGGCACAGAGTTCCTCCATACGATAGTAAAATACGACGTACGGATAGGGTTAAGAGCTAATAAGAATTAAGTGCATCACGTTTCTACTTCTATTCAAATAAAAATGCACGTTGTCTAGCTCCACCAGAGTGAGACAGGTCTGTAACGTGTTGTTACCAACCAAAGTGAGAAACTAACTGTACAGAAACAACAGCGGGGGCTCTTGTGGCCCAGAAAGGTGTTCGTCTCATTTAATCAAAGGTCCCTGGTTTGAATCCGGGGAGCGACGGAAAATTTTACTTCTCTAAAATCTAAAATTGTCTCCTTTCAACTTTCATTCACCTCCTTTCCTGCTCTCTAGCATTCTAGCAATGTTCTGTCGTCTGCTTTCGTCTCGGAAGTCTCCACTTTCTGCCCCCACCCCCTCATCTACTTCGCCACCTCTGGGCGCCCGACTCTTTCTGAAGCCTTTTTACTGCTACTCCTTGGCTTCTTCTTATTGCTGTCTTTCAGCCACACCCCTGATCTTCTGATGTAGGAATGTAGGAAAGATCTACACCTGGCCTTCTCGGACAAGCGCGAAAAATCTCGGAGGTCCAGCAAGTCCCGTGTGCAAGTTGCGCACGTTAAAGATCCCTTAGTGGTCTTTAAAAAAAGAGATAAAAGTAGGCTTCGACCGCCATCCTAGCAAAATTCAAAACTTTTTACCAACTGAAAATGTTAGGTGTGTCCCGTGTGCTCATATGGTGACCTTATTACATGTATTGTTATGCAGTTGGGTGCGCCGTAAAACACCAAACAAAAAGAAGAGCGATAAAAAATATGTGTAAGTTATAGACCGGACAGCGGATGACGGTGAAGGGGTATGGTATAGGTTCGACCCCCCTATCAACACTGTTAGCTTTTTTAAGAGGCGGGACCTCCGAGTTTAATGTCCGTCTCTGAAAGAAAGGACGCAGCCAAGTGGGAAATCTGTGTCACGTCAAGTAGGAAAGTGCAATTCCCAAGGGCATGTCGTCGTCGGACGCAGCTGAGGCTCTTACCCCCGAACCCGCAATGTCACGATTACGAGCCAGGTATCCTAAAACCACTACTACATGTATAGGCTACCGACGCCACTGGGATAACGGTGAAGACTTGCAAAAAAAAAATAATTGAAAAATCGTAAAATAAAACATGATCTTAGCTACAAAAGTAAGGGAAATTTATAATTTGTAAAATTCATGGTCAGTAAAGGCAGGCGGAGATTACACAATAGAGATAGCAGCCATCAAAAGAAATCATTTGGGAAAAAATAATTTACATGTAGGCCTATATGTTTTTTTTATTTTTTTGTCCCGTGTCCTCGTTTTGGGGCCGATATTTGTAGGTTACGTAAAATGTACATGTAATTACTTACATAGTGCATATGGTTATATGGTAACAAGAAAAGGGGGAATTGTTTAGTCGGTGATGGTGATCATGATGATGGTTATTGAATTGATGGTGACTATGATGATGCTCTAATGTTGGAAATTATGTGCATGTTACTTAAATAGTCTTAAGCCCGCCACTCACTACGCAGTTAAAAGGGTGCGCCCGTCTTGAGATGGTCTCCTCAAGACCAACTGAACGCGATCTCAAGATCAAAATCCGGACTGCTCAGTTAAAAATCTCTGCAAACCGTGAGATCGCTTGAATTCAGAACGAGCCTGAAAATTATCTGACGGATTGGAGGTGAGGGTACTCAACGCTAACAATAAAAGGGTGCCAACGTCAAAATTGTGCAAATCTGACTTCAGAATCTTCATCAGCGCCACATTCTCTAGTGGGATTCGATACGAAACACTGCTACCAAACGTTTGATGTAGTAATGTTAATAACTTATTCTTTGCGTGAGCCAGCTAGTTTTTTTTTTTCAAAGACAGTAGATCTATGCGGTTGAATATTGTATTGAATGCTGAGGAAAAATCAACGTATACGAGGGTACTTTTTGTTAATTTTTCCTCAGTATTTACAAGAACAGACAGAATAGAAATTAATTTGTACCAACTGCGCAATGAGGTTACTGAACATACAGTACTG